ATAAATTTTAATGTATTGAATACATTTTTTCCACAATTATTCCCCAGAATTCACAGTTTGAAAAAATCAATTTAAAAAAAAATTCAAATTTAATAAATATTTTGTAATTTTATATAATTTTATATAATAAGTTCAGTTGTTCTCGACATGAAATGATTGTGAGGACTTCTACAAAATAATATAACTAGTTATTAAATTATAGACATTTAAATAATAATTAAAGTTAAAAGATACCCAAAACGGATTCATTTTTGCTGATATTCATCATCAATTTATTTTAAAAATTAAAGATTTAGAAGAAAATTTAACCATATTTTTTGATAAACTTTTTTCCTTAAAAAAAAAAAAAAAAAAAANAAAAAAAAAAAAAAAAATCAAAAGAAGTTATAAAATCATTTTTGTTTTCAATAAAAGCAAAATCGCATTTGGCAAAACGCAATGGCGATACTCAATGATGCTAGTCATGTTGCTTGTTACACAGCAAATTAAAACCACGACGAAGAATTAGTCATTATTGAATATCATTGCCATTATCATATACATTGTCCAACTATTTCTCTTCTATAATGAAAACAAAAAATTATATTATAGCTTCATTTTTTAAATAATGCTTTTTTTAAATAAAAAGATCTGCTATGTTTATTCAAAAACCATATCTGATATATGAAACATTTTTTTGATATAATAAATATTTTAAAATGATTCATATTGTATTATTCCATTATTCAATAATCAATTAAACTATGTTGCGTAATATGAAAAGATTAAGTCAAATAGTTTTCAACTTACTATACAATTTCGTTCAGCGTTGTAACCGAAGGATAGATCATCGCGTGCGATTGCCCTTACGTTGCGTTTAACTGCGGCCTCGGACTAACTCAATTTCGCCTTTATCGCGAAGCATATAAGAAAAATATAGCCAATTGAAGAATGCCGTAGCGATCTTGCGGTTAAAGTTACGAGAGTTAGATGCGAGATCGTGTGAAACGTTGCAGAGTTTTGCGAGTCATGCGTTTCTCGTCTTACGTATCGAGAACAATAGAGGCTCGCACTTTTATTTTATAGCGTGAATGTGCGTCGCTGTTCGAAATAGTGGACGACATTATCCCGGCCGCATAAAAATCTTTTATAGACTCGTCGCAATTCCACTGAGACAGACGTTCAATCGTTTACGGGGGGGATTCGAGAAACGAGAGAAGGGAGAGGGACGAATGAAGTGTTTTTTTTTTTTTTAGAGAAATTGCGTTGGTTGCCTATCTTCGAACTCGTTCGAGTGAATCAATGCGAATTTAATCAACGATCTCTACAGAAATATATATGAAAAAAATATATATGACCGATGAAGCGATTGATCTATCGTGATGCGGAGTGTATGAGTATGTGTATTTTCGTCATGTATTGGTCTTGTGAAGAAAAACTTAATATTAATCTTATTGAATTAGTTTCTTATGTGTTATCTAATTCTGTATTTTCTTTATCGATGAGACAGATATCACTGTGTTATAGAAAATGCTTTAATCTTGTATTAGTATACTTGCTTTTGCTTTCAAAATGTCAATTAATAATACTTATTAAAATATGATAATAATATTATTACATTATTTATATTCTAAAATATGGTATCTGTTATAATGAATTAGGTGGATTATTTTCATGAAGGATATTTACATAAAGAATTCATTATATTCAATATGTAATATCAATTTTCTATCACAATAATTGTATTAATCGCACAAAAGATTTGTTACTAATTTATCATTTATATGACCCAGTTCATAAAATGCATTACCATTGAAAAGAAATACTGTGTACTATCGAAAGGACCCGTTTTCATTGGACGCGTAAATCTATCGATAGAATTCAATAAAACACGCACTGTATCGAGGTTGAATAGGTATGCCAATATACAGCTCTCACTTCCAATCCTGAATATCGAGGTTCTGCATAACGCAATTGCTTTCGAACTCTGGTCTGCTTGTTTCCACCTGTTTCATTGTAGCAGATTTCATTTAACGCGAAATAATGTTATAGCTCTCTCTCGTACAACGTATCACCGCTCTTGGCTATTCTTCCCTGCTTGTGCAAAGGGATAACGTTTTTCCCAAACTTTATACAGATCCTACTCGATGAAATGTAAGCATGATTTTATGGACAAATATAACGCGCGAAATGTATGCGAAAAAATCTAAAAAAAAAATTCTTTCAAGTATTTATATTTATAAAAAATAAAGAAATTTTTTATAGAACCTATCATGAAAATGTTTGTAAATAATTTATATAGTGTTTAATTGTAAATATTCGAATAGAATTAAATTAAACATATTAACTGTATTGAACAACAAGAATGATAATGTAAATAAAATAAATGTTAGAATGATTTGTGCTCGAATTTATGTTGTTTTACATAGCACATATTGTATAAACCGGTAAGTTCGAGGTTACTACCTTTGACATTATTTCATTGCATATTTTGCATTCAAAGGAATATATTCAACATATTTTTTGATACTACAAAAATAATTTCTGAAAGTGCAATAAATGCGCAATAAATGAGAATAAACATTAAGAGATAAAAAATGAGTAAATAATAATCAAACATTTATAGACTAAAATTGAAAAAAAATTTTTTAAATCGCAATATTCGTGAAATTTAAATTTTGTTTGAAAATATAACTTCAATATATAATTTATTATATATTGAATATATAATTCAATATATAATTAATAATTTAATATAATATTTAAAAAATAATAAATTCATTATATTAAAAATATATTTGAATGAAATGTATTAAATTGGAAAAATATATAATATAAATTCAAATATATGATACTATTATAATATTTAGTTTAATTTTTAAATTTATAGTTAATGCTTGAAATTATTTATTGATATGAAAAAAAATGATTTAAATGATTTTAAAGAAAATAATTTTTAATTTCTCTTTAAAACTTTATCGCGTTAGGCATGTATATTTTATCATAATTATTTAGATTATTATATAGACTAGCATAATTATTAAAAACGATGTCATATTTGAGGTTTTATTATTGTATTTCGTTGCAATTATATATCTTTTTCGAATAAATAATGCACATATATATTATATTCTATTTTAGTTATTTGAAACTTGATATCTAACAAATTGAAAACAACAATCAATATATTGATAATTTTTAAATATAATGGAATATGTATTTATAATAATAAAACAAATTTTAAAAATCAATAGAATAAAAAAGAAAAATAAATATTGATTTGTATCATATATTATTCCTTAATCATTATTATGTTATTCCTTATCATAATATAATATATGTAATATCTGATTATTGACTTAGTTTACACAAATAATATTTTATAATGCAGTAATAAATTAAATATATAAGTACAGTAGATAACATTGTTGATAATAAATAATAAAAAGCAAGGACAAATATACTATTATTAGCACGATTTGAAATTCCCTCATTTCAAGAAATATAGTTGAAAACTTTTCCTGAAGACGGCAGCACATACGTACCATGCTTTGAGACTACGTCATCCTTTGACAGAATATCACGTTACTATACGTAATTATGAATTCATAACAGACAATTACACTATTTAGAGTTTGTTATGTTACTTATAGAGAAACTAGAATGTCATATATTTCTGACAAAAAATATCTGTGATGCGTATTTTAACCTCTATAATCGTGAACATTATTTAGCACTTTTATTAAAGATTGCACTCTTTTAGAACATATATTGTCTCAATGTAATAATTATGAAGCAGTATATTCATTAGAAATACGTACACTTTATAATTCATGAAATTAGAAACACATAATTTATAACAATAATTTACGTTGATTCAGACTACACTTTTTACACATCATGTTATTAATCTAACTTATAGCAATTTCCCACTTAATAAGAATATAATTGAATTATTAAAAAACGTTAACACACTTTTTATAACGCTGAAAATGTTCTTAAACTATTGACAAAATGTCAAAAAAAAGCACAAGGTATAACGGAGAGCGGTTACAGCTGGCATATGAACTCCAGAGCACATTTTAGTGATTATAAAGAATATTTTATAGTATCATTACTATTTCCCGTGCTTTTCTTTTTATATTGTTATAAAATATTGAAAAATAATAGCAGTACTTACCCACATACGAACTGCTGTAATTGCCACTCTGTTTACTCTCCTGAATATCCGCCATATTGGGATAGGGATGACGCCACTTCCGTAACTGCGCGCAACTGTTTCACTACGTAGGTTAAAACGAACTTCGTTGCTAACTTTTACTTGCTCGTGACAATCACGCGATATATTTGATAGTGAGACGTTTATTGAATGTAAATGCAAAGAATAATATTAATGAAAGTGAATAGATTGTTGTGAAAAGAACGGTAATATTTTCCCAGGAATACTTTTACTCTCATTAAAGCGAAGTAATAATTATAAATTTAAAATTTAAACAGATAATCAATGAGTTCAGATACATATCTAAAAAATAAATTTTCTTTTAATGTATTTTTTTATTGAAATTTATTATGATATAAATAATCGATATTTTTATTTTTATAAGAAATTTTACATTTTTATTTCAATTTTTATTAATTACAGTCAATTCTTTAAATTTAGATATTCAAATTAAATTTGAAAATCAAATCAATCACGTATAAAAATTATAAAATATTAAATTTTCAAAATGAAATATTTGGAAATGAATTTTATTTTAGCAATATTTGAAATAATTGCTTATAAATGATAATATAAAATAAAACTATATATAATTGTAATAATTTGTAATTTAATAACATTTTAATTTTTTACTGATTTTTACAATATAAAGAATATTTTATTAAATTCTCACTGAAAAAAATTAGGAATAATTCTCTCAAAAAAAGATTTACTTATTCAATTTTCCATAAAATAAAATAACAAAAAAAAACAATGAAAAAAATATATATGTTAAAAATAAATATTAAACTTTGCATTTACTAGTTTCAAGACGCGTAGCTGTCCTTTATCCATCTGATTCGCGGTTTCGGCGAAGCGCGGCACTACTTTCGCCGGTGGATGTGATTTGATCCCGGCGGTTGCGCGGTCGCAGATTCCCTATGGTGGAATGTGGATGCTGTGCGCGGTGGTTTGTTTCGTACGTGAATTCAGATTCGTTTCGTCAGTGATAAAGCATCCAGACCTGTCAAGCGAATCGTCCTTATAAGCTAGCAGCTGTTTCGTCTGATAATGTTGCTTGACAGAACGTACGTGCACATTGACAATTAGGCGCCAACCAGCGTAGAGTGGTCGAGCACGGGCTAGTAAACAAATGACACAACGGCGACCGAGAGGGAGGAGAGAGGAAAGGAGGGAAACGAAACATTACCATATCGTTCCAGCGCGAAATAGTAGCGCAACATTGTGCCTTTCGATTTGCGTTGTTCGATTTCTTCGGTCATTAAGGGAACGCCAACCCATGCGTTTTTCAGCTGGTTAACGCGCGTGGAATGTGCCCATGCATTGTCGTCGTGACGTCAAATGTCATGAGCCTTTTGCCAAGTGTCGTATATCAGCTGTGTGCCAGCTGCATATTCAGCCTGTCAACTTTGTTTCTTTTAATGCTGAATTTGTTGCCGCCTGAAAAGTGTTAATACACATATATATAGGCCTATAACAAGTCATTGAAATTGTGCGCGAATTCGAAGTTATTTTTGTGTAAGAACGTTCGAAAACGTATTTATGCGGGTAATATTGCATTTCGTACACGTTGAAATGCGAGTGAAACTTTTATAAAGTTTAAAGTCCTTTAAATCAAAGTGGTCGAAGGCAATTACATTTACGTTTATTATATATACACGCATATATATAACGGTATTATATATCGTGTACCGGCTAGCGGGCCATTTAAATCTTAACAAATCTTGATTTCTTTTTCGCATCGTTTTAGTTTCATTTGACTGCCCTTCGCATTTCATTCATTCTTTTTAACGAAACGGAGTTTATTTCACTTCAAATGTTCGTAACGTGTAATTGCTTCTATATTGCTCATAATTATGAGAACGTGATTGTGAAGTTTGATTGTGATTTATGGTGAGACATTCAATTGTTTTTCTTCCGTGCTGTTTTTGCTTTTTGTGCCAGCTTTTTCATGCTTTAAGGTTAAAAAATTATGTAACATCAAAGGACTATTAAATTTGCCTGGCTCGGAATGTGGAATTTGTTTGGAGTTTTTGGTGATACATATTTAACTTGGTGAGTAATTTTAATAATAATTTTAATAATATTTGTTTCACTATTTTATTAGTACTCTATCAAGATTTTTGTATTTATGTCATTTTATGATTTTTTTTTAAATATTTTTGTTGAACACGAATATTGCATTTGTTTTTGACGGAAATTAAATAAATTCACAAAAATTATAAAAAGAACTATGAAACAATGAGCAATGCTGGTTTAATATATTTTATATGATTTTTAAATAAGTCTATATTTAATTTTTTACATTTATTATACTCTTGATATTCCGTTAAATAAATTTTTTTAAATATATTTCATATCTTAAAAAGCTGTGTAATTTCAATTCCTTGAGTGTATATCTTATCTTCAACTACTAAATAATTCGTAAGATCAGAATGATTGACTATTCTATGCGTATATCTATTCTTAGAAAAGGCATTATATGCTTTTCACGTATGTGATGTGTATTTCTATCCTCAACAACATGTTCTTTAACAATAGTAATCAATGTATCTGCATCTAGTAAATTTTCTGGACAAAAATCTTTTGAATTATTTTCCTTCAATTTGTCTTTCGCGATTATATTTCTTTTTATTAAATTTATTTGAAATTTTCCCAGAATCACCAATTTTTCTTTGAAATTTTTGGCATAATAAGATAATCATCTATAATCACATTTTGACTACACAATCATAGTTCAATCATTTAATTATTTCTTTTTTTCATTACCACTAGATTCTAATGCTTAAAGCAGATATTTATCAATTTTCCGCGTGAAAAAGCTATAATATCTAAATATCTTTATATTATATATAAATTTATTTATATTATATATAAAGATATATAATACCAAGCATTTTTGATGCTTTTATTTTTTAAAATCTCTGCTTTTAATAATAATAACTTAGTTTACTTATATTTCTCTTTGTTTATATATCGAAAAATTTCAAACAGTATTGAAATTTTTTTCTATTATTTTTATATTTGATTTTGAATTAAATTTGGTAAATTAAGTTTCAAAATATTGATGAAAATATTATTGTATTAATATTATTGTATTAATTAATATTGTATCTATTCAAATAAAGAATTTGGATATTGCATGAATTCTTTAAATATTGATATCATTATTCAATTTCAATCAGTGTAATTTCGGTTCAAAATTGTTTTTATTTATAGATAAAATTTCCTAGAATAGTAATAATATTTTATTATAAATATTTTATAAAAATTTAACCTACAATTATATATATATTATTTAAAATTATGTGATATCAAAAATATATGACATCAAAAAATCATTGAAATCATAATTATGTACAAATAAATTAAAAACAAATTTCATATTATTTTTTACAAATTTTTTGACAATGTGACACTTCCAACAAATACGGACATGATATTCATATTTAATTCATCAAAACGATATTGTAAAATATGATATGTATATAATATGATGTTATATAATTTATGTGATATGTTATATGATATTTTTTTTTAAAAGTTTAGCAGGACTTTGGTAAAGTTTAACCTTTATTTCAATCTTTAAATTAAATTTATGTTAATTGTAAGTTATTTATTAATGTTGTATAGAAATTAAAGATTGCTCACGAACATTTCATATTGCATAAAGCAATATAAGATAAATATGTATCAAATTTTATATTAGAATTTTTTTTATAATAACCGATATTTTAATTCATTGATAAATTTTAGAATGGTATCTATTCCTATTACGAATAATAACATATAATATATTGAAAATAGTAATAAAAATAAATTAATAATTTCTAAAAGATTAATTTTACTCGAAATAAAAAATATAGTAAACTTTTGAATGTCATTATTCAAATATCAACTATTTATACATGAATTTATTTTATGAAAATATTATATTCGTAATAATATTCATAATAAATATATTTTGTCATATATTTGTATCATGTATTTTGTTTATATATATATTGGATTATAATATTCTGGTGTTATATTTTTATATTTGCTTGAATAACCGTGAAATTTAAAATGATTTAATTTTCATGTCAAGTTATGTCATGTTTCACAATATTAATGACATTTCATAATTATCGATTAATTAATTTTTTCTCATATGATGTCAATATGAAATGAATAATCAAAAAAAAAGCACTTACTGTACATTATATAAAGTTATTGAAAAAGATGACTTGATTTTAAATCTTTATATTATTTTCTTTATCTTTATTTTTCGAAAAATTCTTATAATTCGTATAATTGTATAATATTGCATAACATACATAATTATATTAATTTTGATGACATATGAAAAAGAAAAAATAAATTTCTTTCGTTTCTTTTTCAACATCATACACAAATAACATATCATTTTATTAAATAAAAATAATAAAACTTTATTATTAAGAATAATTATTAGGTATCAAAAATGTACTAGATGCTTGATTCTCAATTGATATCGTTTTAGATGACCCATTAAAGTTTCAATCAAATTATACTTATATTTTATTTATATTCTATTTTTTATGCAATAAAAATTATCGATCGAATTTGAATGATTTGAAATTAAAGATTTAAAAATTAATCTATCTCAAAATGTTCTACTTCATCTATCTTATATTAAATTAATATTGCTAAAATACATTATAAATTACAAGTTACAAATATTAAAAAATTATTTTATATAAAAAAAAAAAACAAAACAAGTATAGATTTTATGTTCTATATAATATATAAAAGTTAAATAGATTACATGTGAGTATATTATGTTAAATAAATGTTGTAACAAATTATAAGAAAATTATAATTAATTTTTTTTAATATAAAATTTTAAAATCATAAAAATTGTATAGAATGAAACTTGAAAATTTAAAATATAACTTGTCATTTATTGTTAATTAAAAATCGTGTAAGAGAAAGTTTCAGTCAAGGATTTATATCAATAATAATTCTTAAAAAAACAATTTGCTAATAAATATTTTTCGTAAAAATTTTTCAAAGCATTCGCGATGAATATCTAATTTTTCAACGATTTGTAGCGATATTTATAACAATATTTTTTTTAAAAATAACGCGGATATAAATTTAGAAGACAGCAAGTTCGGTCGGTAAGGTCAAATTGGACGAGTAAAATATCGGTTTAGCTCGAAATCAGCGACCAGTAATTATCTTTCCGCTTAATTACGCCTTGTGTTTTTTCGGGAGTAACGGCGGCGATTTTCTTTTTCTTCCTGCAAAACTCGGAAAAGGAATTCTCGTTATGTGTCTCGTTTTTCAACAGCACGGCCCTTTCACTTACAGGCTCATCAATCTCCCGCTAGTTTTTTCCAACGTGTCAGTGTTACCTATGGGAGCGCGTATGCAGTCACGAACCCTCATCACAGTTTCTCTTTTCCTTTTCTTCCTCAAGCTTTCCGGTTTTGTTGCGCAACATTTTATTATCATATCTCGTGCACGCAGCATGGAGGAAACTCGGGAAAGAGCAACGCGTGTCTAAGTTTTTTTCGTGTATAATTGTAACTATGTTTTGATTTGAGAAGTGTGTTTTGCCCGGAATAAGTGGTTAGCATCAATGGATGATTGTTTGAAAAGTGGAAGTGGGAAAATGGTTTAATTGGTTTATTTATATATTTAAATAGGGTAGATAATCCGTGTTACTATACTTTAGTTTTAGATTTTTATTTTGATTTCTATACTATAATATTCTATATTACAAATAATTATTAAAATTTAATAGAACGAAATTGATCGGGTATCTTATGCAAAAATTAATGTATGCTATTTTTATAATTGAGTAAAAAAATTCAATATTTTCAATTTAATAAACATCAATATGATTTTTTCTTATGATTCACTTTTTTTTTTTGAATATTTATGATTAAGTATGCGCTTAATTTTAATTTATCGCATCATTATATGATTAATTTTAAAAATTAGTAATAATAATGTTGTAAAAAATTTCCAAATTGAACTTATCTTTTCCGGTAATTCCATATCTCAATAAATATAATTAGATAAATATAATTAGTGTCACGAAGTTTAATTATACACGATGATAATAAAATATTAAAGTAATGATATATTATTACTTATGGAGAATGACAATATATGTTGAATAAAAGAAATTTTAAAATATGTCATTAAAAAAATATATAACATATACGATTTTTTATAAAATGAATCTTACATAAGTAGATTTTATAAGACTCTTATAAGACTCTTATATTCAATATATATATAATTAAATCACATATGTATAATTACATCAGTCTATATATATATATAAATTTACATATTATGATTAATCGAAAATCAATTATTGTACATCTTAATTAAATAACAGACATTTTATTTATTTTTATGCAATAAATCCGTTTTTTGTTATTTATCGACATTTGATTACCTTCAAATACGTAGATAGTTATATAATATACATATAATATCAGGTATTCTTGACCTCTTGACTCACGTTTCATTATAAATTGCAACCTATTTCGATATGTTCGATAAATAGTAACTACAACGTTTAAAAATATTTTGCAATATTCATAAAATGCATTAATAATATCATACATATGTACGATATCTTATAATCAATATATCTAGTTATATTTTAATCAATTAGCCAATTCTATTTACAAAATGAGCGACATTATATTTTCTGAAAAATATAAGCATAATATGAAAAAAACAATCATTATTATTTCGAATAATTTCTATAACCTTATTATTAAATATTAAGTTTATTGTTTTGTATTTGACAATATAATATATAAAAATAGTATCAAAGGAACGAATTCATTTTAGAGATCGTTAATTTCTGCTCGATATCTGTTTAATTAGCGTTATTTCAAAACGAACGTGAAAACTTTTTACAAGAGGGATCGCTCGTTTGATTTCACTTCATGAAGTTTCTATAAGCGATTTCAACGGGGTGGTCCAACGGTGTGACAACTATATTGAATAGGCAAACCGAAAACCGGACCGGTCCGATTGTACGTACCTAGGAGAGTTTATATTTG